TAATTACATTTGACAAGGTTTTACCTTCAATTTTTCTTATTTTTCAATAATTCAACAGAATTTTTTTTTCTTTTTGTACTCAGGTTTTAATAACGGAAAACCAGAAATCATTTTCACACTTTCTCACCAATGTCTGCGCTATAATCGGAGGTGTTTTCACGGTTAGTATCTATCTATCCTGTTCACAACAGCCATTTCTTTTTCTTTTCTTCAATTTACCTTTAGTAAACTGTAACTACGTTATTGATAAATCTTCTCTGCGGATTTCAGGTTGCTGGGATTTTGGATTCAATTTTTCACAATACAATTAGGCTGATGAAAAAGGTAGAGTTAGGCAAAAATTTTTGATACAGGCAGAGAAAATTTTGTTACTGTAAAGAATTCTAATTTGTGAGGATAATTCTAAGGAAACACAGTTGACATGTAGCCCTTTTACACGTAAAATGAAGCCCAATTTTTTTATACAAAGGGGGTCGCATTCGGTACTAGATAGGAGAAGAGAGTATAAATGTTGAGATTTGAATTTAGATTTATTAAATATTATTTTTTGACTGCCTGAATTAGTTAAGTTAAATTCCGTATTCAAAGCTTGTTTATTCATCTGTTTACAAACAAGCATACCTAATACTATACAACTATCAGCTTATGTCTTAATTTTAACAATCAATTATCAAGAAAAACCCAGTTGAACCTTTAAACACAAGCTGAGGAAAATAAAAAAAAATGAAAACAAAAAATTCAAGATTCCAATTAATCAGGGAAATCTTCCTCTTAGAATGCTAAAACAATAGTTGAAGCAACAAATGCTCCAATGGAAGCACTAACACTGATGAAGACTGAAAAGGCTGCATTTGTTGGAGTAGACTCTTGGGTTGGTGCCGGTGTTGGGTTATTCTCTTCTGTTCCGGCTGGTGGAGACGCACCCAAGGGGGCCAGAGATGGCATCATGTCGATTGAACCCGAAGGCGGAGGAGAAGGAGGGTTGGTTTCATTTGAGCTTGAAGAGTGGTTGCTTCTGTCAGCCAAGACAACCACTATCAACTTCTCATTTTTTTGACAGTGCTCTTGGTTTCCACTGATGAAGTAGTAAGTCCCGGAACGACTGAATGGGAAAACAGTGCGGCCATATGTGTAGTTGGAGATCGGTGATTCTACACTGCAGTTCTTGTAGGCCTCCGCCGTCACATGAAGCACTGAATCATCGTTTGGTGTGTAGTTGAACACTGTGGCATGTCACCACATGCATGAAATGAAAACAAAGATATAGTACACGACGAAGATGATTTCTAGCTAGCTTCATATATATTTGATTACTTTCTATGAACATGCAGGAGCTGTGATTTGTTTTCAGAGTTAAAAGTGATATAGGATAAAACCAACAACTTACCAATGGAGTCTCCAATCTGAAATCTGTTATTTTCTGCCCATTGATTGTAATTTTCAGCATTGGTGCCATTGTGAAGACCCCAGTTCACTTGGAATTCTCTTGCATAACCCTTCTGAATCATCAGCAGCATGAAACAAAACAGCCCCAATACATGAAAAAGCTTTGCTTTGAATTTCCGATCTGAAAATGGAGTTAGCCATTACAACTGAAAAAGGACAAACTAAAGACTAATGTTTTCAACCAAAAACTGAAAGCTGAACTAAAACTCGTTCAGTGGCAACAATGGGTGCCAAGACCAGGGTTTTTGTAAGCCAAGTTGCATGAAAACTTTACAAACTGTGGCAGAGAAGATGTTGCTTCTTTTCCATATTCTCTTTTTCTTTGGATTTCTTGGCTTCTGGTACAAAGCATAAATGGTCATCTTACAATAGTTTATAAGAAGAGATAAAAATTTTCTTTTGGCTAACAGCCTGATTTATTGATAGAATGCTAGACCCTTTGTTTCAGTAACCAAAAGTTTAAATCCTGGCAATCTAAGCATTAAAAAAAAAATCTACTGATCTGTTTTGAATATTTTCTATTACTTGCTTTACTGAGGGTTTATACTTTGCTTGACCATAAACAAGAATATTCATGTCTTGTACTTTGGATTAAACCATTGACATCTTGTATACATCAATGTGAGTTTGCATTCATATTACAGAAAATGTTTTCCTGGAATTGTTCATCCTAGGAATTTGCTTGAAAAATGTACTTAAGGTTTGGGGTTTGAATTGAACTTCCCTCTTCTTCAAGTCATTCATGATTTTTAACCATCCTGAAGCATTAGAATCAGAAAAGAAAAAAAGAATGCTTGAGATAGAGACAGGTATGGACATCTTAAATCTGTTCAAACTCAACCATTGCTGATATCTTGCAAGGTGTAGCAAATAGTTCATCATCATTTTCATCAAGACCAATGTTTTTGTTGAATTCCATTCCCCTTTTTTGCATACATCTAAATTTGTTGCAGAAATAATAGTCAAGTGATTAATTAGTTCATGTCATTGTTTCCTACCTAATTAAGGTTAGTTTTGATCATGCAGTTCTATGTCCAAAGGTTTACTTTGTCATTACCTGGATAGACACATCTGGCCTAGTATCATGACCTGGTCCTGAAGGACTGGTTCTAGTCAGAATCAGACAAGAAATAGAAACTTTCATCTCCTTAACTTTTATGAATAGAAAATCTCTGCCTTGCTATGACTTTTCCAACGAGATATATTAGTTTCAGAAGTTCACTGTAGAGTTTGTAATTTATTTATTTGTAAAGTGTTTGTTTCAAATAAAGTTTATGTCAAAATTTTATACCGTATTGTTATTATATTTTTTTATATTAGATCATTATGTCGTATCTAAAATTATAGATTTGCTTGAGGACATGATGTCTAAACAACTTTCACCAGTTTGCTGACATCAAACACCCTAAATAGGTAATCAAACAGCCCTTAATTATATATCAAATACTGCTAGGAAGAAATGGGGACATGTATAAAAACAGGGAGACATGACAAATTGAATGAAACCAGGGAAAAGCAAGAACAAACAAGGGAGTAACAGAAATTATATGCTGCTGGAAACTGCCCAGTTGGTAAACTTGGGTCCATAACAATTGATCAAAAGGTTACTACATGCTTGATCAAGTCAAAAAATGAAGACAACAAGCAATTTGATTAGTGGACTACTTTCCACGATTTTTATAACTTGAAACTAAGATTTTTATCGAAATTTTATATTTATTTTTATATAAGATAAATTATTGTTATAGAGATTGATATTTAATTTATAATGTATCGTTGGTTTTGATTTAAAAATTTCATAATTTTATCTCACAAAAAATATTTTATAAATTTGATTTTAAATTTTTCATTAAAATTTAAAGTCCGGTCAAATCTAGTACGTATAAAACTATAAAATTATATAGAATCACAAAATTAAAATTACACAAAATATTAAGATTTTAAAAATAACTTCTATCATGTGATATTTAGCTTTCACACTCTCACAATAAAATATTTAATTTTCGTTCAACTGATACTCACTCTAATATTATTTATAGAGATTTATACTCAATTTAAAGATATTATTCACTTTATACAATTTTATTACATAAAAGATATCTTACAATTATAAATTTAAAACTTAATTTATATAATATAATAAATTCTTAAAATATCCCAAAATTAAAATGTCATAATTATGACTCGAAAATAAAATATTTATCAAAATTTTATTTTATTTGAGCAAATTATAGTCTAAGGACACTTGGTAAAACAATACAATGGAAAAAAAAAAAAAATTGATGGATCAACCTTCAACTCCTCATTGATTTTGTCCTTGCAAAATTAGATCCAAACAAATCTAGACAGAAAATGATCCTCTTCATCAAGTTGGATAAACATTTTTTATTTCTTTATTTTTTGGCTGAAAAGGTTGAAAAGCATTTGAAACAGATTAAAGCATATTCTTTGGAACCCACAGCCATTTTTTGCCTAATCGACATTAATTTTTAGGGACCCTATGCAGTTATTTCCATGACCAAACCATTTTTCTCCTTACCACCAATCAATTAATTGAACAATAAAATGCAATAATTATTCCCACCAAATAGTTTCATTACCCTCAAAATTTCATTGTTTAAGAGAGTAGTTGTTATTCAAATTTAATTAATTTATGTAATATCAATAAGTTGTTAGTTTAATCGATTAAAATTTTTTTTTTAATGAAAAAATTTTAGATTTGAATCTTATCTAAGATCACTTATTAAGATTATATCGAATGCACAATTTAAAATCATCTGTCTTAAACTATCAAATACGACATATTTTTTTTTACTTGAAAGATTGCATAACTATTTACCTTCAAATTTTTCTTATAAAAAAATTAATTCATATAATTATTATAAAAAATAATATTTAATAAATTTAAAATTTAAATAATAATATTTATAAATTTTTTATATTTATCAATTTTAAATTTTTTTAAAAAAATTTTCATTTAAACATATCAAAAAACCCGAAAAAAAATTTATTAATAACAAAAAAATTTTCTTGTTTGTTTCTAATATTAAGCTTATATGTAAATGAATCCAAAGATTTACTTGAACAAAATGTGATAATTGCAGGATTTTAGGCTTTTAGATTTCATTTTAGGACAATATCACTCAAATTTAGGACTCAGATAAACCACCATTTTTTTGGAGTCAAAGTCAATATGTTATAGTTCTAGTAAGTTTTACCATCACTCTTGTCTTGGTCTTGGTAATGAACGTGGGCGGCACTTTACCACACCTTACAAGGCAGAATTGGTCAGCGCTTTTCAACCACGCGCCACCAGAACGCATTGACTTCCTATAATCTCATTTACATTACGTAAGTAAGAGGATGAAAGCAAAAGTAGTCCCTTCAAATCTTCATCATCCATTGTTGTCGTTCACTTTGGTCTCTTTTAGTTCATTGAGAGTCCGGCAAATCTGTTAATTTTTTTATTTGTATATGTAAAACATTAAAAAAATAAAAAAATCAAGTCAAAAAATAAACATATAAAAAGCTTTAAAATTTTAGCAGGATTAAGTTTTTGTTTTTTGGGTTTAATTTTTAGTACAAAAAAATGAGAAGTAGCAGTTAAATTTAGATAAAGACAGAGAAACAAGAGGGAGACGGTTAATATCAACGCATAAAACGGCCAATTGTTTTTTTAATTTTTTATTTTTGATGTTCTTTTGTTTGTGAGATGTCAACTTTCTACCACCAACCATGACTACCACCACCACCAGGTCCACCACCGACCAAATAAACCCATAATTACCCCCAAAAAAGTGTTCTTTTGTTTTATTTTTGTAAAAAAATAAAAAATCCAAGACTCTTTTTCTCGTTTTTTGTGCTTTGAAGAGCTTGACTTGGCTGGACCCTCCATTTTCTCAACCTTCCTCTGCATTTCCTTTGGTTTTTCCTTTCTGGGTTTTTCTTCTTCTATTCAAAGCTTCCAGCTTTTGGTTGTGCTGCTGCAAAGAAGAAAAAGAAAAGCCTTTTTTAGCTGGAAAAAGGGAAAAAATAAACTTTTTATTTTTCTTTTGTGTTATATTTTCTTGGTAAATGTGGGGGGCTCCTGCAGAACCTGCTGATTCTTATTATGAGGTTCGGCCTGAATGCACTGATGTTCCAATTACCAGATTTAAGATCAAGGTTTGTTTTTACTAATTGAAAAATAAAAAAAAAGGAAATTTTGGATCAATGTTTAAGTAGATATTGGGAAGGAAGCATATTTTATGCCATGGGGTTTACTAGAAAATTTGGATCAAATTGATGTTTATTTTTTGGATCAAAGTTTTTTTTTTTTTTTTTGCTTTATTATTGGTTTTAATTTGATTGAATTTTAGCATTGCCTGTTCATTTGGATTTGACCTTGAATTTATACATATTTAAAATGGTATAGTTAAAAATTGTAGGCAATGAACTTGGATTAGAATATGGTTTCTTATCATGATCAATTCAATTTCAAGTCAATGTTTTTCATGGCCAAGATTTCTGCTTCCAGTTTAAAGAATGTGGTTCCTTTTTATCTTTGTTGATTTGGTAAATGAAGCTGAGTTCTGCAGTAATTGTTAAAAAAAGAGTGCTGTGATTCAATAAAGATGCTTTCTTGTTTATTTGCTTGTGCAGCCTGGTAAAACTCTAAGTGCAAGAAAATGGCAAGCTGCATTTTCTCCGGATGGGCATCTGGATATAGGCAAAACTCTACATCGAATCCAACGTGGGGTAAGTGCATATTCATGTTCAATTGATTCAAATAAAAGTGCAGTTTTGCTAAATATATTGGATATTTAAGTTTCCAGAGTAATTATTCAAAATCATGGCCATCCTTATAAATCCGGCTTGAAAGCTACATGGACAACTTGGTTGCTCTTTTATATGCAGTTGTTTGCCTACTTGATATCCTTTGTAAATAGCACTGTTTCCACCTACAATTTAGTTTTTTAGCAGGTCTTAGTTGCAGTAAATTTAGAAAAATGTATTAGACAGCAAAACTGGAATTCAAATGTAAATTGTTTTTCCCTTTTGATTTAGACTATTGGTGAGAATTGGTCCTGATGTTGATATCGTATAATTGGGCTTATAAATGACTAGAACATGCTAATTGTATCCATGAAACAGTAAGGATAGTTTATCAATGCAAAATAACAAAAACTAATGCATCAATTTGTGTCCTATGTACCTTTTATATCAATCATGCTGGAAAGCAGCATCACCTAGATATATATATTATATTCAGCAACGCAGCTGGACTGCATATTCTAACATGTATTAAATCTTGTACATGGAAGAGCATATGCATATATCAAGTTGTGTGAGGCTATGTTTATGGGTTTTTAAATGCATGTACATATTTTTGCTTATTTGTTTTAGCCTCTCTCTATTGGCATTATGTTTTTTTGGCCAACATAGGGGATCCATCCTTCAATTAGAGGAGAAGTTTGGGAGTTTCTACTTGGCTGTTATGATCCTAAGAGCACATTTGATGAAAGGGAGCAGATACGGCAGCATCAAAGGTAGTCCATTTTTCCTGTTTAATTTGATACTATTTGGCTAGTGAATCTTTGAGAGATCAGTTCTCTGCTGGACCTCTTTCCTTATCTGGAGGTCATGTTCTAAGCGTTGTTTTCTCATTTCTATCTCAGGGTGCAATATGCTAGATGGAAGAATGAATGTAGTGAAAGCTTTCCTGTTATTGGAAGTGGCAAATATGTTACAGCACCTGTCATCACCGAAGATGGTCAGCCTATTCAAGACCCTTTAGTACTTTTAGAGACAAATCCAGGCAAGTAACTGGCACTTTACCTTTTTAAAAATAATAGTTTGCCAAAAGGGAAATTAACCAGGTATTAATATGTGATGAATTATTCAGGTGCAAATGCTAATTGTACCGAAATGGTAAAGGAGCTAACCATTCGTGGTCCTTTGGACAAGAAAGTAATCCAGTGGATGCTGACATTACATCAAATAGGTTGTTTGATGTTTTCTATTTCAAATGCACGTCTCTCTTTTATTTGTTGCTTTCTTCTCTTGCTCATGACCACATTCCTTGTGTTTATGTTTCTGTCAGGTCTTGATGTCATTCGCACTGACAGGACTTTAGTATTCTATGAGAAGCAAGAGAATTTGTCAAAACTTTGGGATATTCTCTCTGTTTATGCCTGGATAGATACAGATGTTGGCTATTGTCAAGGTGAGTAATTACTTTAAATCTTTCTTTCTAAATGATGATTATAGTTTTTATTTGTTAACTGCATCAATCAATTGAACCTTGAATATATTTATTTATTTATTTACTGTAAAATAAGCCACTTAATTTTACTTCATTAGCATGTGACTGTAGCATGTGCTTAACGTTATGGTGGCAGAATAAAAATATAGTCTAACAAGTTTAAAAACCATCACAAAAGCCTTTAGATTTAGTTATCACTTCTAGATTTTGCTAGTGTTTTGAACATGGTCTTTTATTCATCAGATTCAACTGTTATTATTACCACTAACTTTTCACATAATCCATTCTGCGGTAAAAAAAACTTGCCTATTCCTGGTATTTTCCTTTTAGGCCTCCCAGTAAATAACCCTCTCCTTATCATACCCAAAGACGTGGCATACTATAGATGCTTCTCTGATATCTCTCTAACTCTCCACACACATGCTACGTGCTTACTCTTTCTTGCACATTCTTTGGTATTATATTAATTTTCCCTTGTCAACAACATAAATCTAAATTAAGGAAGAAAGTTGATCTACTGTAGAGTTTCATTCACTTCCAGAACAGCATGGTTAGGTGGTCTTTATATAGGTAATGGGTTATAAATTATAATAGCTGTAAAGCTCTGTCTATTGTAATCTCCATTCATTCTACCTCTCTATGTAAAAGAAGGAATAATAATTTTTTATATATAATTTGTAATCAAATACTAATTCTGAAAGCTAAATTCAATTATAATGTTGAGCAGGAATGAGTGATCTTTGCTCCCCCATGATTATTCTTCTTGAAGATGAAGCTGATGCATTTTGGTGCTTTGAGCGTTTGATGCGCAGATTGGTAACTTTCATTTTTTTTTTTTTTTCCTTTTCTTTTCCACTCTGTTTATTGCAAATGGCGGTATGATGGCTTATCTTTTCATATGCACCAAGTTTATTTTCCAGAATTGGCCTAAATTCGAGCTCCTAATGGATTAAATATGCGTTTATGTATTTCTGGAGTTGAGAATTAAGTTCCTTTTTCTTTTTTATGTGGAATTCTAACTCCTAATCCTTATGGTCCTTTTAGGATTCACATATATTGAATGTGACAACTCTATCTTTAACTACTGGTTGTCTTCAAGACTACCTACTCCAATAATTTCTACTCAGTTGTTCTACACGCTTTGTAACAGGAATGTTTTTTGCCTCCCCGTCGATTCATTATACTTGCTTGCACATATACATATTGATACCTGTCTGTACACCATGGCAGATTTTACTATTATATCTTTCTTATTTGCCAAATACCATTGCATGCATTTCTTAATAGCTAGTTGACACATGTGATTTCCATGGATAGATCTTCTACTTTATTTTGTCAGACCTAGCTTGTTTATTCTGTTCAGTTTTCTCTTCATTTACTTCATTTAAAGAGTAATATCAGAACAGCTAAAAAATGCAGATTTGCATATGCTGAAAGTCTGACGGTAAAGAATTGGTTAATATACCAAGAGAAAGTTACAGGGGTTTTGTTTTGTCCTTTTTTCCTAAGCACTGTCTCTTTTTAGGAAGTGTTTCTCCATCTTTTGCTCTAAGTTCTTGCTGCTTTTCTAATAAATAGAACAAAGTGTATGATCGGTTACATAACTCTTGATTTACCATTCTCATTTCTTAACTTCTTTTCTAGGATTTTCTTGCTTTCAGCTTTGTTACCAGTTTCTTATTATATTTGTTCCTATTTTAAATCTTAAAGAGAGGAAATTTCAGATGCACTGAGAGTTCTGTTGGGGTAGAGACACAACTTAGTAATTTGGCTGCGGTAACTCAAGTTATTGATCCAAAACTTCATCAGCACTTAGGTACGAAATTAAATTTATATCTTTTCATTCTCTAATGTTATGCATTGAGCTTTCTTTGCAGATCTTGTTAAAAGATAATTAATTTTTTTTCTTATATTGGTTTACAGAGACTCTGGGTGGAGGTGACTATCTCTTTGCTTTTCGAATGCTAATGGTTTTGTTTCGTCGAGAGTTCTCATTTTGTGATTCATTGTATTTGTGGGAGGTATGTTCAACACTTCTAATCCTTTGACTGATCTTATTGAATTCAAAATGTATGCAAAATGCTTTGTGAATTACCTGATACCATTCCTTGGAAACAAGACACAATTCCATAATGCTTGTGATTATTTCTGATTCCAATGATTTTATAGAACTGTTTGTTTATGGATTTGGCTTTTTCATATCTTAGAAAAATAAGTTGATGATAAATCTTATCAAGTGATTGTTATGAAATATTTAGATGCACATTCTAGTGAAGAAAAATCCTTCACCCAAACCGAGTTCTTTAATCTCTAATGTGACTGGTTTCAGAGGAATAAAGCTGAAGGACCTATGAAATTTCTCATTTATACGCTTGAGAAGCTTCTACCGGTTCTTTGATATCAAAACTTTTTATTGTTATCAAGCTGTTTGTAGGAGTGTGTCTATTCAGATGTGATCTGTCCAGTGATATTGAAGGAAAATAATTTTCACCTTGATGATGTTTTACAGTTTGTAATTACTTGTGGGCTAAGATAAGCATAAATGTTTGGTTGTGTTATGTTCAGCACTCTGTACAATTTCACGACGACTAGCATGAATCAATTCCTGTGTTTATGGAACTGTACTTTTGTGTTTTGGCATGCTTCACATGAATTGTACTCATAAAGTTGCTTTGTCTGGTTACCTAAACTTTCTACAGATGATGTGGGCTCTGGAATATGATCCTGACTTGTTCTCTCTATATGAAGAACCTGAATCAAATATTGAGAAGGCTGAGGGTTCTAAAGGAAAAACCAAATCAACACGTCAGTGTGGGAAGTATGAGAGAGAAAATATGAAAATTAAAAGCTCTGATGCCCCTCTCCCCATTTCTGTTTTCCTTGTTGCCAGTGTCTTAAAAGATAAGAGCTCAAAGCTACTGCAAGAAGCTCGGGGCCTGGATGATGTAGTTAAGGTGAGCTTACATGGGGAATAATGATAAGACCGGTCTATAAACAAACATATATGTTAAGCAACAATTGACCTGGCACAGCCCATTATGCATTGCTGAAATAAGTGTCTATGCACAATTAGCACCTTCAAAAACCGTGAAACATTTTCAATTGGTTTCGTTGCTGATGGAGCCTTACCTTAATATACACTCTTCTTTTGGTATTTCCCTTGGGACTGCTGGACTTCAAGCTGTTTTATGTTGTCTTAACGCTCTACCTTTCTTGTTTTTAAACTTTTTCAGATTCTGAATGACATGACTGGAAATTTGGATGCTAAGAAAGCTTGCACTGGAGCAATGAAACTTCATAAGAAATATTTAAAAAAGGTAATGTTATTTCTTTCATCTTTCTAAATCTTGATGCAGCTTTTAAATTCCTTCATCATGTAAAACGCAAAAAATAGCAGCCGTGGAATAGTTAGCTGTAGTACCTAGAGTGCACATACATGTCAATGTCATTGCTAGATGATTCATTTGTGCCTAGCTTCATTTCAGAGGTTGCTTCCATGAGAAATCTTCTGCTGATAACTCCTTGAAGTCAAACTCTTTTCATTTTTGTGACCACAGGCCAAGAAGACATAGCATAAGGTAAACCGTCTGATGTTTTCCACCCAGTCAAGAAACAATGAGTGTTTTTTTTTCTCGTATTCCATGACTTGATTTGGCCGAAGATAATAACATGCTTCCAGAATAATCCTGGCTCGGAGATGTTTTCCAGATGAATTCTATAATTGCTCCAACCATCAAATGTTGCTATAGAAACCATTGTTTTATGTGATAACAATCTTCCACCTTATTTGTGTACAAAAATATTGTTTACTGGTATCTCCATACGAATCCATAGTTGTATTAATATGTATCTTGTGTTTGTTTCATAATCATTCAAATTTCAATGAAATAGAAAGAAAATTAGCTGCTTATGCATAAATTCTCCATATCATTTTCAAGAGAAACAGCAATGAGTTTTCAGAAGGGAAAATTTTTTCAAAAACTATTCTAGTTGCATTTCTCCTTTTTGCTACTCAATCTGCAAACTGAGTTCCTTCACGATGAACATGTCACACAAGTTGAATGACGGACAAGGGTTGCAGATTTCCTTCACGATGAACATGACAGAAATTGAAGGGTTGAAATTCTTCAATCCCTAACAATGGTGTCAACACGACAGAAAAATAATACTTGTTCGGGAAGAATCCTTCTTGAGTGGAACTTCAGTTAATGGAGGTTTTTTTTTTTTTTTTTTTTTTTTTCTGATGAAGTTATGAGGAGAAAAGAATCATATAAAGACGAAATCATTCAAGAACATACTCCTAATTTCCATGTGAATCTGCTTCATATTAACAAGAGTATAAGTACAGATTTAAAAAGAAGATCAAAGTTTGAAGCTTATTTATTGCACTGGAAATAATACTTGGGAAAATGGAAAATTTTAATTTAAGCTCAAAAGACATGTTCTTTTCATGTTCTTTTAGTGAAGAAAGAAGCTTGATTTATTCTAAGACTATTTTCGTTTCTGACATAATATCACATTCTTCCTCACCAATTGTGCAACGTTTTGTTACGTCCTTTTGGAGAGAGACTCACCCAAGTCCAGATTTATCTCGAGCATGATATCTCTTATGAGAGCTCATATTAATAAAGAGTTTGACAAATTTTGGTACCATTTATCACGGATCCACACTTTTAATGCATTGAAACTTCTCTATTTTATTTAATAAACATGTCTTTTGCATTGAAGACAAAAAAAAAAAAAAATCAAATCAAATTTCTAGTTATAAAAGTTACATCATGATCCATGGAGTTGATCAAAATGTTGAGTTTAAATCAAAAGAATAAAAAAAAAATCTTACCAAAGCTAATTCACTACAACTAAAATAAAATCTCCAATGACCATCAATGGAAACGGCCTGTTATCAGCAAGAAAGTCATGATAGATATGAAGATAACAGCCATGAAGGAAACTCGAGAGCTGTGCCCTGCACTCCTAGGAAAATCATCAGGAAGTGCACATTCTTCCCCATTGAAGAACACCTTTGTAGGGAACCCATCCCCACGTCGAACGTTTATTCCTGATGTATGTTTCTTTCTGAATGAAACAATAGATTGTTGCTTTCCAGGAACTCTAGGCTCATGTGGTTTTGTCCCATTTGTCTCTGCCACCAAGTAATTCAAACCTGGCAAACCCTGGAAGAAAATTGTATTCTTAACGGATTTCAGCTTTGTTCCATTGAAGGAATAGACGTTTTCGTAGCCAGGGAAAGCCTTTTTCATTTCAACAGCGGTGAACCAATCCTCAAATGGAGTATCTCCCCAATTAAATAGGGTGATCCGAGCCGTCCATCCAGTCTTGTAATCAGAGTTAAGATGCCAATTTATACTAACTCCGCAATTGTCAGGGCAAGGCAACTTTTTGGGAACAGTCCTGTGCTTGAGATGGGCAAAGGCTTTAGCTTTCGCTGTCCTGTTTTCGAAAGGAACAAGAAGAGCCTCTGCTGGAAGAAGCATTCAACGCCCATTGGGATTGCAAGTATCTGTATCAATATCATCACAGCCACAAGCACAGGTACTGCATGGAATGGCAGAATCATTGTAGAAAGCCGAGAAGGAAACACAGCACTTAGTTTTCTTTTTCTCTGGCTTGGTAATGTTGCAGACAACTTGCCAACTTGCAATAGCACTTGCTGTAGCCTGGAGCCCACTTGGTTCAGGAAATTCTGTTGGATCTACTCTAATTGGAGCCCCACACTTGTACTGAGGATTGAGTAACCCAGTAACATTCCATCTTTGAGGTGGATACAAAGCAGTTTTGGGTGTATCAGGAGGCAATTTGTAGACCCTTAATTGGAAAATTGATCTTGCTTTGCTTTCATCCATCAATGGTGGCAAGAGAGTCCCATTTCTACAACAATAAGGAATCTTACCAACGTTGGAATCATTTGCTCTATCAGCTGGCAAATCAGCAATCACAGGCCTTTTTTGGCAATTCATGACTGGAGTAAAATCAAAGTCCTTGAGGAATTGGCCAGCTAAGCCAAAAATGCAATCAGAGTAATCGATTTTGTGAGTGTAGGCTCCTCTCATGGAGTAAATGAACTCTCCCCTCATCCATTCCCAAGTCAAGTTCCAATGATCAAGGCGGCCTAAGAGATTGTTGTTGTCCATGGTTACTTGTGCCTCATAGCTACCTTCATATGCTTTAAGAACATCATACATGAAGTTGAGGTCTCCATATTGCTTTGGCATGTACTTGCCCTTGGGAGACTTGGCCTTGAACTTGGGATTCTTTTTGCAACATACATGCATGTAGGTAGCTGTAAAAAGCCAAAAAAAAAAAAAAAGTTTAAAAATCGAAGGCTGGAATTTCCCATAAAACCATATAATCTTCCATTGATTTGGTTCAAGATAAAACACAATTTACTTTGAAAACTTTCCATGAATTGATCATGCAATACCATGCTTGAAACAAAACTTACGATATTTAGTAGGCTTAGGGCAGTTCCAGCCATCGTTAGCCAGCTTAATCGACTTTGGCATTGGAATCGCGTTCTCTTTCATCCCGAACATCGTGCCGGTTAAGTGAACCTGCACCGCAATCTGGTTATAGTCCCCAGCAGTATCAATGGAGGTCTTGAGGTCCGTCATGGGGTACCCTGCTATGGTTGTTCCATTCCCAACTGCCACCGGAAAATCTCCGGCACCGTCTACAACGATCGCGTTGGTTGCAGACACCAATATCTCTCTATGTTGAAACCCTACAAACATCTTCCATCCTTTTACCTCTTCTGTCCCAGAATTGACTATGGTGGCTATGGAGTTAAACGCCCATGATTGAGCTGTAACGTTCTTGACGTGGGGATATTCTTTAGACCTTGACGTGAAAGCGTAGCTCAAGAATACACCATTACAATTGTCTTGGCCCGGTGGTGGTCCCGGGGCTGGCTCATCATCGCTATAGTCATCGGCAAGATCACCATAACATAGCTGAATTCTTAAAGGGATAAAGAGAAATGCAAGATATAAGAGTTTCATCCAAGGCATTTTCATGCCTGCTTTTGTTTTATTAAACCTTTTTTACTTTTGATGCTTTCTTTTTTATTTTTTCTTTTCCTTTTTGTCGGTTGATGATCAGAGGCAGAGGAAAACAAAGAGGGGTTTGCCGCGCGGGGAAGACGCGGCAAGGGAGAGAGGGGAGGGAGTTCTGAGTGAACCCCTATGAAGTTTAGAGATGAAAGGATTATAATGGCGAAGGGAATGAGACATAGAATCAAGCTAAATTCTCTTCCTCTAGTTTTTGCGGCTGGTTCGGACATGGCTAAATAATGGTGTTTTATTTCTTAGAGTGAAAGGAATAAGTTTCTATTTTTCGTGTGGCTGATGAACTATGTCGTTTTGCGGTTGGCCAATGTTTGGACTAGTTAAATATTTTACTTGTCAAATGAGTTTTGCAACTATCTAATCAAATGATTTGGGATGGCAAAAACTGGTTTTCTCAAACAGATAATGAATGTGGTACCATGTTTAATTGATTGTTTTGTGACAAATCTGATTAAAAACTCCATGTTTCTCAAATCTGCAACTCCATTCCCTTCAATGAATGTTACAATGAAGTTCATCTTAACCCAATATTTTCAAGCAGTAAAGCCTGGTAGCCTATTAACCTAAGCAAGTTAGATGCTAATGATTTCATGTTTCCTGAGGTATGTTGTTTCAAGAGTTTTAGAACCCTTTCATTGATTTCACAAGTGCAGATGGCATGATCAAAAGTTATAGAGAAACTCGAGAGCAAACAATGACCTGCAGCACAGTTTACATGTTTGTATGTGAAACTCTACAAATACTTCTGAACATTCCCAGGTTTTCATGGGGGAGGAGATGAGATTTGCAATGGTTTATCTATGGAAGTTGTAGAGAGGAGAGAAAGAAGAAGAGAAAGCAGTACTCATTAAAGGCAAGAAGAACAACAAGAAACTAAATGCGAAGTTTATGCCATCAGGTTCTAGGAGAGTCTAGACAGCAAACCCCTCATTATTAACAAACCTCACCACATAATCACATCAACCATCAAAAAAAGGAGCCATTTCATTCCTACCAATGACTATTTTTCCGGTTCCTCATTACAGTTATTGCTAGGGTCCTCATTGCAGCTATTGCTAGAGACTAAGCATCTGCACTCTCAGCAGAATCTGTAGCAGCCAAGATCAGCTCTGGGTGAATGCTTCCCACAGATGTTCCATCAAATGCATTAGGCAATCCCAATGATTTCAGAGCAAGATGGGCTGCCTTTTGCCCTGATATCATCATTGCTCCAAATGTTGGTCCCTACATTGGCAAAAAAAGTGTAAATATGTTAATAACAATTTAGTGTAATATCACTGCCTTTTGCCTGACTCAACATAAGTCCAAGAACAACATAATAATGATTATGTTAATTGAAAATTACCATTCTTGGAGATCCATCAATCTCTGCAACTTCCATTCCAGTAACAATCATCCCAGGCACAATTTCCCTAGTCAGCCGTACGATAGCATCCTCAGCTGCATTCATATCCAGTGCCTTCATTCCTGGCACACTATCAATCATCCCAATGCTCTTCAACCTCTTGACCCCGGTGGCTCCAAGTGGCCCATCATGACCACAAGAGCTAACCACCACCTTGGCCTCCATCACGTTGGGGTCCATGCAGGATTGTGTGTCATGGTTCATTGATACCAAGGCCCAATTTGTCACAACTCCACCAACTCTTCCTCCCTTCACTATTAAGTCCTCTGCCGCCACAGCATTGAACAGCTTCACATTGGGGCGGGCTAGAAGCTTGCTCATGATGGTGGATGTGAAGAGGGCTGCATGCTTGATTACTACATAGTCGTCTTTTTCATCATATTCAATGCCAAGTTCATCAAGGAATCGATGAGCTGGTTTGCGCACTACCTTCATTAACATAGAATCTTTTGTTAATACTACATGGAATGGATCTGGTTTGCAGTGTATGTCATGCAGCAACAGTATTAAGATTCTATGCTGTAGTTTCACATCCACTTAATTATCAGAAATATACAGAATTGTTGTTACCAAAAGAAACTTCATAAGAGATCCCACAATTTGATTATTTTACATTACCATGGCGGAGAAAAGCTGTCCACCAAGCCAGGCACCACCTCCAGGGCTAACAGATTGTTCAACAATAGCAACCTGTACGAACGGATTCTTGCTAAGCTCATAGGCGCAAGACAGCCCCGCAGAGCCAGCACCGACCACCACCACATCAGTGTCAGCATAGGTGATCATGTCCATCATGTACCTACGTGTCATCTCACGTGACACAATGGACTCCTTGATAGGGAGAAACCTGAAATCGTTCAGATCATACTGAGGAGGTGCTGCAGACATGGAAACAGATGCATTGCAAGGAGAGGAAGACTTTGGTTTCAAATGAAAAGAAACTGGTGTTATTGGAACCCCAAAAGAGGCAGACTCAAAGAGAGAACTGTTTCTGTTCACTTTAGTATAGGGTGTGAGAGTTGTAGCAATGGAAGACGCCATTGATTGAGAAAAACAAGAAAAGGGTTCTGGTTTTTGGGGTTCCTGAATTTGAAGCTTGGAGAGAAGATGTAGCACAAAAGAAGGGAAGAGGGTGTTAAAATATAGGAGTAGGAAGTGAAGAAAAAATCTGAGAGGAGACGTGGGAAAGGTGGAGGATCTGTAGGGACTATAATTGGTAGGATATCTTTTGGAAAGATTTGACGCTTTTTTGCTGGTCAGTTTGTCTGTTTTATGCAAAATTGGCAAGAAAGAACAGGTCTCTACGGCGCATTTAGTTTCAGCCAAACTGTGGGCAAATCACTCTGATCCCACTTTTTCTTTACTGTCTCTGTCAAGCAGGTTTCATCTTTGAAGAACTTTCTGGTGGTCTTTTGTCATCTTTTGCACTTTGTCACACTTGGAAGATGTCTCTTTGAAGAGCTTTTATTTTTTATTTCTTAGCTTTTTCCTTTTAATTTTTTCTCACTTTTTTATTTCTTTAAATTAGATAACTTTTCATTTTATCCCTTTTTTTTTTTTTACCTTCCATCTATTTTGTTTTAGGTCAGGTAAAGTTTACAATAAAATATTAATTTTACAATAAAAACTAATCAAGTAAATAATCCTAGATAATACTTAACAATGGACAGGGTATTTTGCTAGTATACTTAAAAAAATTTATTAAATGAACGGTAAAATTAATTTTAGTGAAATTGAATATAAAAATAAAAATTATAAAAAAATTTTAATATTGATTTTAATGAGATTAAAAATAAAAATAAAAATTACTATAATACAAGTGTTAAAAAAAAATTATGTCAACTAAATCTTATTAAAATTATCATTTAAATTTAATTAATGATGCAATAAAATCAACTACACCTTTTCTAATGAAATCCAAACCCTGTCTTATTTTTTATCCGAACCCTCCTCTTACTTTTAATCTAACCCGACTTTATTAAAATTTTAAATTGAAAAGAAGCTCCAACATTTTTTTTGACCTCCTTGGACTGGTTGGCCATTTTTTGGGTCAGCTGGGCTGGATATTTATCATGGAAAAGATGATACATTTGCCTTCGTTTTTTCCTGCCCGAAGACATAATTCTTGGGTAAGTCAAATACGAATTTGACATGGCATTTGACAGGCTTGCCTGAACCCTGAAGTTAAGGGCTACCAATCACTTTCTAAAGATCCATACAACCAATTACTGAAGTGATTTTAAGCTTATCCAGATGTGATGAAATGAACCGAACAAAGATAATCCGATGACAAAAACGCCACTTGAAATGACAGAGAAACAAGCTTCCATAGATTTTATAATCATCCAACAGTACATAATCTAGTGAACTGGAAAGCACAAGAAATACGAGATGCATATGTTGTTATCAAACCAACATAGAGATTATATATAACAGCATAGATATATCATAATCAGGTAGTATTTCCTGCTTTGACACAAGACAGGTGACTCAGCAGAAAACTTTAAACAGCTGCAACTTAGAAACCATGGATTTTGATGTTTTCCTTCTTCACAATGCCAGCCTGGGTAAAAGAAAAAAGACAACAAAGATTAGGAACTTGAACATCAAACAGCATTAGATGCACTTTGGCTTTAATGTCACCTATGACATCTAAATGTTCCAAGAAGCAATAACAAGTACATACTTGAACGAGGAAGGTGGAGACATTCTTACGCTGGTCGCCTTGAAGTTGAATAACCTGAATTTAAACAGCCACATAACAAACTTAACCATCAGGCACCAACAACAAGTATTTACAAGGTTAATAACCTCTTAATGGTACACACATACCTGCCCTAATTCAGGGTCCTGGACCACAGTGCCATTGCAGCAAAACTCCTTCTTGAGGTCTTTGAGTATCTTGTTGTAGCTGAATTCTTTCTTCAACCCCTGGACAGTTGTCAAGCTTTTCCTACCATTCCGCTGCTGAATACGAATGTGCACGTACTCCTTTGCACCGGCACCTGAGTCCTCAGCATTTGCATCAGCAAAGGGATCTAGCACAACAATATAAAAGTCACGATACAAAACCCATATTAACGACAACAGACAGATCAAAAACAATGATAAACAATGGAACTCAAGAAGTTAGGATCCAAGCATACCAAAGGCAGTAGGAATCTGGACGTCGAGATCAGACATGAAACTTAGTTGATCAAAGAGGCCTAACAACCACAAGCTGAGACCTAAAGTTGTAAAGCAATACACACTTCAGATTCAACTTTAAATAACATATCATCATAAAGAATAAGAACAGTTTTCCCGTAAAACATTAACAAAAATCAGGTTGCCAAATTAACCAAAGTGGACATCTCATTCCCTTCCATCAACAAGTTAAACAAAACAAACATAAGCCTCACAAACCTCATGGGAAGTAAATAAATTAAAAAAAAAAAAAAAGAGAGCATCTGATCATTGTAAAACCAAAGGCATAGGCTAAATCGAAAACAAGAAACATACAACCATAACAAGATTCAAACTTGTACGCTATAAGCCAATAACTCAGACTCGAATTAACATGTGTTACCCCTATTTGCTCTTTGACTTCCTGAATTTTATCCAAAAAAATTGTAATTTATGCACTATGGAACCAAATCTTAAAGAATTAACAACAACTTTAATCCAAAAATCACATTATAAAACGAACAAACTTGTATACCAAAAAACCCAAACATGTAAAGACTAAATAATAACAATTTTAGATTAAAAACTTTCAACCTAATCTAATTACATACAAGAATGAAAAAGTAACATTAAATCTTAAATTTTGATCCTTTTCTTCAGGCAAAAAAGATTCTTAATCTGAAGCAAACATAAACAATTCGCATACAAATTAAAGAAAAAAAAAAAGAAACCTTGATCATATAGCCAAAACCCATGATCAGAAAAGTTTTAGATCAACCAACGGCCAATAAAAAATTGATCTTTAACCCCAAAAAAAAAAATCTGAAGGAAAAATTGAAGAAGCTGCAGCTGAAAAGTTACCTGATCCGGGAATTTTAGGGCTTTTTTAGAGAATTGAAATTCCGATTAACAGAAAAATAAGAAGAAAGCCCTAAAAATCGGATAAAATCTGAGTCTCTAGAGACGTTTCTCTGCGGTGGAGAGGAAGTTAAAAAGGATAGGTCTGGAAAATAATTTATTATTTTTTTTGGCCAAGAAAATAATCTATTAATTTAAAATAAAAAAGAATTAAATATGACAATGACCGTAAAATTCAATCGATTCTCATGAAATTAAATATGACAGTGAATTATTCGAAAAAAAAAAAAAAGAAAAAGACTTTTTTTGGGGATTTTCGGCGGTTGTACGCAACTTGAGGTGATGGGATTATTATACTCGTGAGGCTATTCTTTACTCGCTAGGAAAAGCTTGAGATGATGACAATAGACACGTGGCCATTGATAGGAGTGAGCGTGAGTTGTGGTGTCGATGAGGAGAAAGGAGGCAGTCGCCGCTGGAGGGTTAGAATTGAGTCAACGGACGAGGAAATTGTAAGAAATAAAAAGTTTCGAGGTAGGGTTTAACCGACGACGTTTGGGAACTGGGACAATCTTAAATTGTTCACATGCGGATGTCGTACGTTTGCTTGGTCCAGATAAGATGAATCCAGCCAAGCTTTTTTTTTATTTTTTTTATTTTATAGATTAGATTCATAAGTTTACAAATCTAAGATGGGGACTATAGAATGTCAAAATAGATTTATAAATTTTTAACAATTATATTTGGTTGGATCTCTCATCATAGATTGAAACTCTATTTAGATAGATAGATGATAAAATTGATTTGAATGTAAGGATATAAGCCAAAAAATTTTTTAACAAACTTTTATTTATTTATATTTATTTATTAAATTTAACAAAAAATTTTGCATAATATTTTTGTATTTTTTTATTATATAAATTGAATACGAATAAAATTTTATTTAATTTATTTATATTTATAAATTAAATTTATTATTCGTTCTCATTTATAATAATAATAATAATAAAGGTATATTTTTATTTTTGAATTAATTCTATTTTAGATTTTGTTTATATTTATTTATTCATTTAAAACTTATTTATTTAAATTTATTTTATTATAATTTATCTATTATTCATAAATATATTCATATTGGTATGTTTTTTATACATGTTTATGCATATATTCGTTTAATATTTATGAATAAATTTGTTTAATTTAATCAAACTAGACACGAATGTCCTAACATCATATTATTTAAACGAATTGATCTCAAATAAATAAAACAATTTTTTTACTAAACTCGAACAATTCTAAAAGTAACAAATAAATTATAAATATTCATCCGTTTATATTCAATTCATTTAGAATATATTTGGTTCATTATTTACAGCTGTTATCGGATGAAAATAAAAATAGCAATGACGAAACTCACTCTTGACCCTTTTTCATAATGCAATTGCTATACCTTTCCTCGGTAAACTTGTCCTCCAAATATTATTGAGAAAAGGAGGGAGTGTGTATATAAGTGAATCAAGCAACAATGCTGATCTCCTCCACAAACTTAAATTTTGACTCTAAATCAATCAACTGGTTGGACTTGTTCGCTAATTGCGAAATGCTAACCCTTCCTCACGCTAAATGTAAAAAGGGAAAATACTTTCACAGTTGTTTTTGCTTCAGATGATGGTAACAACAACCATGTGAGAAAGAGAAACAATAATAGTTTCCATTATCATTCAACATCAAATAGGCCAAGAGTTGAAAGAACAAGAAACACAGGACGTAGCATATATTAGGATCATACCAACATTGAGATAATATAACAGCATAGATATAACTAATGGTTCATCAGGGAGGATTTCAGCTTGGAACAGGAGGCTAAACTTGGGAGAAATTTTTGCTACGGCAACTTAAAAACCATGGATTTTGATGTTATCCTTCTTCACAATGCCAGCCTGTTCACAAAAAGAAGAGAATGGTAATTAAGAACTTGAACAACATACCTGAATCTCCCCGGTACATTCATGAACCACGCAAATAAAGATAATTGCTATGTTGAATCTTCTAGTCAGTTTTAAGAATATCTAAACCAAAGGGTAATGACAGATACCTGAACAAGAAAAGTAGAGACATTCTTCCTCTGATCGCCTTGAAGTTGAATAACCTACAAATGATCCAAGTAAATAATACACTCAACAATGGAGAACAAAGACAGACATGGCCAAGGCTGCTTTCTTAGGAGGTTAGACACAAACCTGCCCTAACTCAGGGTCCTGGACAACAGTGCCATTGCAACAGAACTCCTTCTTGAGGTCCTTGAGAATTTTGTTATAACTGAATTCTTTCTTCAACCCCTGGACGGTAGTCAGGCTTTTCCTACCATTCCGTTGCTGAATTCGAATGTGCACATACTCCTTGGCACCAGCACCAGAGTCCTCAGCATTTGCATCAGCAAACGGATCTAGCAACACAGCATCGCGTGCAAGATAGATTTTCCATGAACAAGGCAATCATATAAGGGGGTAGAGATCAATATGAGGGAGAAATGCTTACCAAAGGCAGTAGGTATTTGGACGTCAAGAACAGACATGAACCTTAGCTGATAGAAAGAGCCGAACAACTAGAACACTCAGACCTACATTGCAAGGCCAAATATTCACCAGTGATTTCATTTTACTAGATCAAATAAGCATGTTCTTTCTCAACATGTCTCAAAACAAACATTTTACCACATCATTTGCTGCTAAAAAGAAAACAACAGAAAAAAAAAAAAAAAGGAAAGAAAAATTAAAGCACAAACAAGCATCCCTGAAAGCAAAAATTTAGAATTCCTTGGTCAATCCAAAAACCAAACAAAGATAAAGTACCATAGAACCATACATAAATTGCTTCACTTCTAGCATAAACCATGAACCCAAATCAGCTTTGTCACAAAGGGGGACACTCATTATATTTATCAAATCTAAAGAGCGTATCTGCCATTTTACACTATAAGCAATTCAAGGGTACCAAAGCTAAACATTATCAGTAATAATAAGATTTAAATTAAGGAGGGACAAGGACACAAAAAAGTATTAAAGATTGAATATTTCATAAAAGAAATATACAATCTTTAACACAATAAAAACCCTAAAACCAAATCCAAAAAGAACAAGAATCAATGAAAATTTATACAATCAAATAATCAATTGCAATTTTTTTATAAAACAAAAATTAAATAAGCGGTTAAAACGTACCCGATCTGAAAATTAGGGTTTTGGATGATCAAGAATCTGACAATGAAATAAATAAACCCTAAAATTATGATCAAAGGCTAAGTTTTGAGGGTTTGTTTTGGAAGCGAGTAAAAGGAGAAGATCTAGAAAAATAGATTAATTATATACTATTTTTTAAATTTTTTAATTTTGAAGTTTTAGATTTGGTCAGAAAGCGTGTGAGATATGTCAAGTGCGCTCGACTGTTTTAGCCGATGACCAATTATGGACACGTGTACGATGATTAAGGCGAGTTTAGTTGCTTTTGTTTACGAATGGAGTGGGTGAGTTTGGAAGTGGAAGAGTAGACTTGTCCGTACAGACATAGATTAGATTACAAACATATACGGCATCATTTGCTGTTTTTCCCTGAAATGGCACATGTGTGTTGTTTTTCCTGCCTTTCAAATTATTGGTTATTTATTTTTTAAAATTAAAATTTATTTGATGAAATAAAAAAAACCCATAATTAATAAAAACCCTTGCAAGAAAATGAATTTAAATTCTTTTGAAAATGGCAATAATAGTATCAAAGTGGAAAAAAGGTGAATTTTATCATTGCATTAGGGGGCAATATTGAATTTTGTGATTGTGTGCTTTTAATTTCATTGAATTTTGATTGTACTTTCAATTTCGTTTAATTTTACTATTATATTTTTAATTTTGTTGATTTTGATTTGTAAACATGAGATCATGAATGCAATGGAAATTTGACACTCCTATTAACAAAGTATTCCATAAAATATTTTAAATTTTTTATTCAAATATCAACAAAATTAAAAATAGAAAATAAAAATTCACTTGCAGTTAGAAAATATTTTATGCAATAATAATGCAAATACATCCCATAGTATGAACTATGCATTAATTCTCCTGCTTGATTTGCGTTACAGACATTCTTAGTTAGAATTATAGATCTTTATCATTATTTCTAATGATACGAATCATGATCAACTTGATCACTTCTAGATTTTAATCTACAGTGATTCATAGAGCTTGATGCTTAGCCCCTTATAACTTATTTCATCTTTGATCAGAACGTAATTTAAGTAGTTTCCCATAAGAATTCCATAATATCGAATGATAAATATAATGCTATCCGAAGTATAATCCAGTAGCTATAACTTAAATAATGAACCAGCAGAAATAATCAGGATATCATGCTTCAATGGCAAAGTACCGGCAACTTGCAAACTTAACCATAAGGTAGAACTAAAAAGGTTTTTAAGAAATTATTTACTTAGGAGCCACAGCGAAGCAGCAAGTTCACAAGCAATACAACCAGAAACATAACAAAACCATTCGAACATAAATGGGTCTACTACTTGACTATATCACAAATCACACCTAAAAAACCATCACTAACCACCACGAAGGCGAAGGACCAGATGCAAGGTTGATTCCTTCTGGATGTTGCAGTCTGCCAGGGTCCTCCCATCTTCAAGTTGCTTTCCTGCAAATATCAGCCTCTGCTGGTCTGGGGGGCTTCCTTCCTTATCCTGGATCTTGGCCTTAACATTATCAATGGTATCTGAGCTTTCAACTTCCAGAGTGATGGTCATTCCTGTTAAGGTCTTCATAAAAATTTGCATCCCACCACGTAGGCGAAGGACTGAGTGGAGGGTTGACTCCTTTTGAATGTAGTAGTCTGCAAGGGTCCTCCCATCCTCAAGCTGCTTACCAGCAAAATTCAGCCTCTGCTGGTCCGGAGGGATACCTTACTTGTCTTGAATTTTCGCCTTGAAATTATCAATTGTGTCAGAGCTCTCAACTTCCAAGGTGATGGTCTTCCCAGTAAGTGTCTTCACGAAAATCTGGATACCACCACGAAGTCGGAGCACCAAGTGCAAGGTGGACTTCTTCTGGATGTTATAGTCAGCAAGGGTCCTGCCATCTTCAAGCTCCTTGCCAGCGAAGATCAACCTTTGCTGGTCTGGGGGAATACCTTCCTAATCCTGAATTTTAGCCTTAACATTGTCGATGGTGCCAGAACTCTCTCCCTCCAATGTAATGGTCTTTGCAGTCAAGGACCAAGTGGAGCGTGGACTCCTTCTGGATGTTGTAGTCAGCCAGGGTGCGGCCATCCTCAAGTCGCTTACCAGCAAAGATCAACCTCTGCTGTTCTGGGGGAATATCCACCTTATCCTGGATCTTTGACTTATTATTGATGGTATCTGAACTCTCTGCCTCCAATGTAATGGTCTTTCCAGTCAAGGTCTTGACAAAGATTTACATTCATCCACGAAGGCGAGGCACCAAAGTGAGGGTGGACTCCTTTTGGATGTTGTAGTCAGCTAGGGTACGGCAATCCAGCAGCTCTTTACAAGCAAAGACAAGCCTTTGTTCGTATGATGGAATCTTTTCCTTGTCCTGGATTTTGGCCTTGACATTGTAGACGGTGTCAGGGCTTTCCACCTCAAGAGTGATGGTCTTGCCAGTGACGGTCTTAACAAAGATTTGCATCTATTTTGAATCATAATAAAACCCAAATAAGACTACTACAAACTAAAACAAACACAACCTACTTCCACAGCCGAACAAAAAAATAAAAAACAAAGTTGAAAAAAACAAAGCCTTTTGATAAGAATCTATGAAGATCGTGGTTCCTGGTTATCTAAAAACTGTTCAGATTGTTTTCATCTATTAAACCCCAATTTCACCTCAATTTTTTAAATAATATTGTTAAAACCCTAAATTTTATGCACAAATTCAAGCAAATCAAAGGATCTAAATTCAAAATGAAAAAATATATAAATCTAAATGTCAGATTAAAGGAAAAAGAAATAAATATCTAATCTGATGACAAAAGTTAACCCTAATGGGACATTTGGTTTGGGGAATATGAGATTTTTTCCTGAAATCTTGCTTGTGGAAATGTGATTATTATGTTTGATTCACATGTATCTAATTCTTGGGTAATCTTAGATTCCCAACAATATTCAAATATCCTGAAATCATAAACCCATCTCTCCTCGTGATTTTTTAAGATTACATGAGAAAAGTTAATTTTATCACACATTTGACCTCAGTAATAAATTTTTTCAATTCATTTTACCCTTGAAAATCTACATATTTTAGAAACTTTTAACTACATTTTTATTTAGAAATGTAGTCTTTAAAACGTAGTCGTTAAAACAAAGACCATGTTTTTTTTGGCTCCAAAACCTATTACATGCAAAATTCAACTATTAAATATAAAATCAAATCACAAAAATCAAATAATAGAACGAAAAAAGTTTAAAACGTGTATTACCAGAGAAGAAGATTGGTCAAAAGTTTCATCCACGAATTCATTTCCAACACTATTGGTAAATGATTGATCCATTGTTTTAGTTTGCATTGCTGCCAATTGTGCTTCCAATTCAGCAATTTGTTGATTCTGCTAAGCTATTATGGATAAATACTCAGCACTCTTGGAGGTGTGGGGTTTAGGTTGAGTTTTGAAATAATTTGTTGGAGTTACAAAGCTCTCAACCCCCCTAACACAGCCAGGTCTTTCTTTTGAACTAAAAGCCAAAGTCATCATATCTTCATAATCACCAATTTCAATTTCACCAGATGTAAAACTCATAGCTATGTCATCCTAAAACATAACATGCAAATGTAATTAAATACGATATATTAACATGTATAAATGGCGAAGTATCAAACAAGATATAAATACAATATGAACTTACAATTTTCTTAGCCATTTGTTTAGTTATTTTATCTTCATGCTTTCCAGTTTTTGATGTATGTGCTTTTTTCCAAGCATCCCATCTTGATATTTCGTTGCTTAAGCCGGATGTTTCTTGAAACCATATAAAAATATAAGTTAGCAACTAAAAAGTAATTAAATTAAAATTTCCTAAAACCATATCAATTAATAAACAATCAAAAATACTTACAAGTTCATGTTTAACATTTGCATACCCCTTTCGATGATGATACTTTTTTTGGGCCCTTATTTTCTGTTGAGCTTTTTTTATTTTCTGCAAAAAAACAAATTTAATAACACATGAATAAACAATTTTAATAACACATGAAACAAACATCTCAACTTCAATAATTTATTACAAAAACAAAAAAAGATCGCTATGCATACACTAAATTCATCTAATAGACGAGTGAAAACAAACTTCATCCACTGTACATCACTGAGTACATCTGAATATGTGGCTGGGGGATGAGCCAACAATTCAGCATTGTCAGCATTAGTTAAAATATATTTTTGTGTCAATCTACTTTTAAAATCTCTGAATTTCAACCTAGCAGATTGCAACACAACCTTCTTATATTCAGCTGAGACGTCAAAGCATTCCTATAAAGAATAAATTAAAACATTTGAACAACACAACGTAATTGCATTTCATAAACTAGAGACATAAATAAACAACAAGTTTCAATTTAATTAATATAACTTACCACAACCAAATCCCTATATGATCTTTTAATTGGACCATTTCTCCAACTGTTGTAGTTAATGGATATTGTCTCTCGAACGAGACATCCAATATAATTAGCCATTTTTGACGCATCACTTGAGACAGGTTGACCATCAGCATTGAACTCAACATGCATTTTTTTTCCGGTTACTTGAAGCAACTTAGAACATCCCCCAGCTTTTCTTTTTTTTTTGAACATGATGTGTTAGTTAAATGTTCTTCTTCATGTTCAATTGAAGTAGACATGTGTTCTTCAGAAGCCATTATATCATCCAATTTATACAAATAAATATAGAAAGGGATAATTAGTCTAATTATCATGCATGAAAATATAAGAAGATCTAATCATGATCGATTGAAAAACAATTTTTTAGAATGTAAATAGAAACTTAATTGATAGAAAGAGTCGAACAACTAAAACACTCAGACCTGCATTGCAAGGCCAAATATTCATAAATGATTTCATTTTACTAGATCAAATAAGCATTTTATTTCTCCGCATGTCTCAAACAAACACTTTACTACATTATTTGCTGCTAAAAAGAAAACAGAAATCAACAAAAAAAGAAAAGAAAAGAAAAATCAAAGCATAAACAAGCATTCCTGAAAACAAAAATTTTAAATTCCTTGGTCAATCCAAAAAGTAAACAAAGATAAAGTTCCATAGAACCATACGTAAATTTCTTCACTTCTAAGCATAAC